GTAATTCATTGAAACTGTCAATTCAAGCTCCATCAGTTTCCAATCACTTTTTCCCAAAGATTCATATGGAATGCACAATCTTGAATTATCTTAGTGCATCAATATCATTTAGTTTTTTTTTTTTAAATGACCCAAAAGATCATACAAGTTGCAACTTTGCCTACCTATAGACCCAAGTTCTTTCAAGCCAATATCTTGCTTGCTTCAGCATATATCCATTTTTTTATCACTCTCACCCCTCATATACTTTATTTAGATGAAAATATTATTATTTGCAGTTTTGCACCCCATGATTGCATAGAGTACAAAAACTCACCAACAATAATTCCTCAATAATTCTCACTTAACATCAAGGGTACTGGAAGAAAAAGATTTAATTTCAAGCAAAAAATCATACATCAGCTTCAGTATTTCCAACTAGGCATGTTGCAATTAGTTCCACACAGAATAATGAAGTCCAGATAAACAAACAAAAATGCAATCTTAGGACTAAATTACCATGTGGAAGATAGATAAACCATTATTATCTATGATGAGTCTCATCATATTGAAACAATCAATAACACTAATATTCTCAGCAAGTTATGCAGAAGTACCTAAGGACTCAGAAACGACTTGTTAACAATTCTAGGCAATATTTATTATTCCTAATACTCATAAAATGGGGTAAAGCACAAAATCGCACAATAATTTTAGTAATTCTCGTTTAGGCAAGTCTTACGCAGAAAATATAACTTTGACCGATGAGTTTTGTCAGCTAGTTTCATGGAGAAGATTAATTTACCCTTTTGCATCATTTCCCGGTATTCATCATCAACGTTATATTATCTCCTTTCAGAAGAATCCTACCAAGTTGCTTTCTGCTCTTCTTCTTGACATTGACTTCCTCAGCATCATCCAGTACCAAATTCATGTATTCATCAAAGCCGATGATTCGGCCTTCGATCCTCGTATCCTTCTGCTCAAAAAGCCAAATCTGAATACGAGCTTTGCTCTGGAGAAACCTGAAGATGAGGTTAATGGGTTGAGTCATAATCCTCTGGACTTTTGTGCTCGCCATGGCTGCTGAATTTGGGAGCTCCGGCGCCAAAAAAATTTCTTTTCTTCTATTGCAACACAGAAAAGCAGTGAAACCCTAGTGAGAACTGCGAGTGTTCGATTTATATGCTCTATTTGGGCCGGAGCAATATCAATGTGAGTGGGCCCATCATGACCCAAATATTGTCCCAATAGACTGGTCTACTCTACACTTTTTAAGTTTCTATTTCTTTTCCTTCATAAATGGAAAATAAAAGTGGAAATTACATAAAAAACCAAAATTTTAAAGATTCAATTTCAAAAATCAGATTGAAAGTTTCACTTTTCAAAAAATAGATATTTCATTTTTAAATATTAAATATTAATTATACAATTTTCATCCCAAACTCTAATCAATTTCATTCCAATTTTTCTCCCTCTTCTCTCTGTCACTCTCTCTTTCTACCAACACCACTATCCTCCCTCTCTGCTTGCAACCCAGCCTCCACGGGACTGCATAGCCTCGTCCGCGACTTCACTGCGGAAGCACCGCTGTAAGTCGCACAATGGCACAGAGGCGCTGCGAATGCATCGCTGTGAGTCGCCGCCGCCACGTAAATCCACTCTTTCTTAAAAAAAAAAAAAATTTGAGTGGTGTGGTGATTGTGGAGGTGTGCGGTGCAATGCGGTGGTGGGAACAAAGATCTCTGGTGAGTGCGACGGTGATGTGTGGCAGTGGTACTGTAGGTGCTTCTTCATTTTTTTCAAATTTTTGAGAAGCGCGATCATTGTGGAGGTGTGCGATGCAATAGTGATGGAGGTGTGCAATGCAGTGGTGGGAACGGAGATCTCCGATGGGTGGGCGGTGATGCGCGATTGTGGTATTGTAAGTGCAGTGGTTGGGTGAGTGGTGTAGTACTCTGTGCGGAGGTGGCTGTGATGGAGATGGTGGTGATGAGGGCTATTGTTGTGTTTGTGGATTGGTGGCAATTGTAGTGGCAATGCTAGTGGTGGTTGGCGATGGTGATGATTGTAGAGTTGGAGATTTTTTTTGGATTGTAGGATGGGGGTGGCGATGGAGGTTTTCTGGTTTTAATGGTAGTGGTGGTGCGGTGGTGGTAGTGGGTGGGTCATGGTGATAGCAGTATTTTAGATGATGGTTTGCTGTAGAGAGATGGTAGTGGTTTCGACAACGGAGTTTCGGTTGCCATGTTATTGGTGGCAGTGGTGAGATGGTAGTCACAAATGTTGTGGTTGTCACAGATTATTTGGTTGTTTGTGACCATTAAATTGATTAATATGTGACCGATAAACAATATTCAACCAATGAAAAAGATAAATTGTGATAAAAAAATAATGTGTAATCTAAAAAATTGTTATGTGACCGATAATTTGATAATTGTTTACTGTATAATAAGTTATGACTTATAATATTTGTGATTTGCGACCTATAAATAAATTGTGATATTTCAATTTTAGTTTTGTGACCTATAAATTATTTGAATTGTGACGTTAAAATAATTTGTGATTTGTAATTAGTGAATAATATGTGACTTATTAATTTTATAAATTTGTGACCGATTAAAAAGTTGTGACCTATAAAATTTTCGATTTGTAATTATAAAATAATTTGTGACTTATAAAATTATTGTGATCGATGAACAAATTGTGATTTCTAAAATTTTTGAATTGTGATGTTAAAATAATTTGTGATATATAAAACGTGTGAGCAATGAATAAGACGTGACTTATTAATTTTATAAATTTGTGACCGATGAAAATATTGTGAGCTATAAAATTTTCGATTTGTGATTGTGAAATAATGTGACCTCTAAAAAATTTTATTGTGACCAAGAAATAATTTGTGAGCAATTAATTTAAAATTTGTGACCAAATTATATGGAATTGTAACCTTAATATATTTAATTAATAAAATATATGTTTAATTAATTAATTATAAATAAATTTTGAAAAAAATTTGACATTTGAAATTTTAAACTTAGGTTCTTAAATTTGAAATGGATGAAATTTAACCTCTTATTTATGAATTTTTCCCAAAATAATAATAATAAAAACCAGGGAAAATTACTACTATGCAGTATTTGTAATTAGGGTTGGACATGGATTGGGTTGAATTGGTTTTTAGTCATCCAAATACAACTCAATATGTTCGATTTGACAATTATTCAAAACCAACCCATTCGCGGTTAAAATACAACCTAACCCAAATTGACCAAACTTGGGTTTATTAGTTTGGACTTGAGTCCAATTCAAGTTAGACCCAATTATTCTTTTGTTGGCCAATTTTTTTTATGGGTTCAATCGTTGAAACCTCTTTCGTTGAATTCGAACAATTCTTTTAGTTGGATAATTAAATAGCAATTCTTTAAATTATAAACTCAGCAAACGCTACCTTGTCATTGAAAGTCTTCTCCTTCAATCCAAGTATTTAGTAAAAAATCACGTAAAAAAATTGAGTCAAGAGGCCCTGACACTAGCAGGAATGAGAGTTAAAAGAGACGAGAGGCAAAAGAGATGAGAGACAGAGAAATTTGATTATCAAGTTTTAGGTTTTTGGTTTCAAAGTACTTTTTTTTTTTATATTGGGTTTGGTTTGATTAGATTTTAATGGATTACTTGGAAACCAACCTAAGTTAAACTAAAGGGAAAAATTCATAAATAAGGTGTTTACACCAATTCAAAAATAAGATTTATAGTTTGAAACTTCAAAAATCAGGTGTTTTTATTTTTTTATTTTTTATTTTTTTAAATTCTAATATAATATAATATAATATAATAAACCCACTCCACATGCACCACCCCCTGCTCAGGTGACTATTCCGACGACCATTCCGACCACCACTCTTCTCCGGCTCCGATTCCG